GCGCGCGCACGCACGTGTGTTTGTGGGTGTGATTTGGGTTTATAGCTTTAATTAATATTTGGAGTTGCTTTCGCTATTTTCACATGTGCTTGAACTTTTTTATTTCATAGCACCAAATTTTTGTTTACCCAACAGGCCACAAAATCATTATCAGAATATTATAATTCTATTGTGATGAGCCATCTGCGCTGACCATCCCTTTATTCTTTGTGTCCACTTCCTTCTGCACATTTACTAGTTTTCTCTTATTAATTTGTAAGAGTTATTTTGTATATTGGGTTTTTTTTATCTAATTGTCTGTTATTTTGTTAAAGTTCTTTCCTATTTGGACACTTGTCTGTTAATTTCCTTTGATCATTTTGGGATACAGTTGAGTTTTCTTTGTTGACACTTTTTACATTATGTCCCTCCTTAGACATTCTTTATTCATCTCCAGATCTACTAAATAATTAGATATATATGTTCTCCTTGAAATCATTTTTAACCATTAACTTTTTTCTGGAATTTATTTTGACATATGGTAAAGTATATGAGATTGGTGAGTATCTAACATGAATTCTTCATGTCAGCTTCTGCTTCTCCTTCCTTCCAGTTCTGCCATAATATTTAGTAGATAGTCCTTTTCCTTTTTTTAGAATAATCAAAAGGCAGAGGAACCCATGAAGTCATAGAAAATTAATATAGTGATTTTATACTGTAGCATAAATAATTGGTTAGAAAATACAAAACAAAAGTAGTTCTTATCTAAAACTAAAAACCAGAAAAATGTAATTTAAAAAAATAATTATCAAGACATGGTGGTATTTGCAGGAAATATAATATTTTCCTCATAACAAAGGAAGATAAGAATAGAGGTTCTTTCATATTACTATTTAGGAAGACTAAATACTATAATGAAAAATGTACCGAGCAGTATCATGAAGTTAGTAATAGCCACAGTCTCAAGTGGGTTCTTACAGTGCCCGATTTTATAAAGCTATAGAACAATAGCTTTATAAACAAGAATTGTGAGGGAAAAAAATCACTTAGCCAGATACTAACAAAGTAAAAATAATTGCTAGATCAGTGAATTTAATGTAGTATATTAAAAAGTCGCTAATAGTAATATCTAAAAGCACTATTGTAGAAAAGAGGACATAAAATTTTAAACAAATGGCTCTGGGAAATGCATGTGCAATTGAAAAATTAAGTTACAGCCTTATTTCCTAGTTTTTACTTCAAATTGTGAGCTATGAGAAAATTGAGTTAATAGAAATGTAACTCCTGAAAGAGAACTGTAGGTCTCCATCAGTTTTATTAAAGATTATGTAGAAATTTTAGTTTCTAAGAAACTAAGAAACAGTCTTTAAGTATATTTACTAATGATTGATTTACCACGTTTGGTAGGGTATATATTATAGTGCTAATTTATCAAAAGCTAACAGTTATTTTTGGTGATTTGGTGTCTACCCCATCTGGTTGATAATTTGTTCTTCTTTTGCTAAAATAATGCCTCCATTTAGCAAACAAGAATTTATCTTAACAAAGTGGCAGAGCTGCTGAATTCACTGCGATGCCCGGGAGATTTATGTGTGATGGCATTGTAATGTCATTTGTCCTAAGTTCTGAAGTAAGGACATTGAAATCGCCCATAAATTACTTATGTGTTTGTTAAACTCAAACACAATATTTTAGTTAAGCACAAGTTCAACAGGCATCATATATAGGAAGAAACATCATGTCACTCACATCTATGCTCTCTTCTAACTTGAGTCCTAGGACCTACTCTTGTATAGGGTTCTACTTATCACCTACCCAATGATTTGTTTACAAAGTACAGTTTCTGCTAATAGACACTTCATAGGCACAATCATACTTTCAAGTTTGGTGGAAGGAATATAAACAATGTAATTTTCCTGTTGGATACTTCCTCATTATTAGAGTAGTAAGAAGAAACGGTAGCTGTTGAGATGAGAAATTTCTGAGAAGACGCTTGTATCCTATCTTAATGTTACATCACTCTGATAACAATTTTATTTGTGAAAAAGTATCAGATGGAGAAGTAAGCAATTTATAAATGTAATCCAACATTGTAGTTCATAGTCTTGCTTGGTGTTTAACTAGTGCATGGCATTTCCCCTTAAGGATGAAAAGCATTGTGTTAGCAACCTCTGAACACACTTTTTTCTTAGACACATTTTGTGGAGATGTCATTCTGATGAGAATCAGTGACATTTTCAAAGATAATCATTGAAAAATAGGCCAAGTAATTCCAAAGAATGTGTTTTCCATCGCAGCTAGTTTCTTCATTGTCTTTATTTTTTTTCTGTTTCTCCTCATTTTTTTTTTTAATACATCAACTCAAAGATCTTTGCAAGGCAAATTTGGGCCAAGTAGTATAATTTAAATTTTTTAACCTAATAACTATATGTAGCATAACCTCTATCATTGCAGAATGCTTCTTGCCAAGCCTTGGTTTGTGAATTTCTACTACATAGAAGATATTTCTTGCTGTTTTCATAATGAAGATTCATTGATTTTGATTTTTTAAAATTTGCTTTCCTTTTGGTTAGTCCTTTTATCCTCCTAGACTTTATTAATACATAGATTCTTTCAACATTAATTCATTACTTAGGTTAGATTACGCTATTGCAATACGTAGAATTTCACTCATATTTAGACTCAGTGTCATTTTGCTTATTTGATGTGAATAATTATAGCCTGTTAGTGATATTTTATTATTTAAAAGTAAAAGGGATGCTTAAGAGAAAGTGCACCCCTTGCTCAGTCTAAGAGGTTCAATCTTGGGTGTGTTATTCAGTGAGTGTGTAGTTTTGTTCTGCTTTTCAGAACACTCTAGAGGCTGGAGAGACGCTTAGCAGTTCTTGGAGAGGACCTGAGTCAGTTTCTATCACCCATGTGGTGGCCTACAACCATTTGTCAATCCAGTTCTAGGTTATCTGATGCTCTCTTCTGGCCTCTGCTGGCCCCAGGCACACACATGGTGCACACACATATGTTCAGGCAAGACAAACATATACATAAAATAAAATAAAATAAAATAAATGAATCTAAAACACTTAGGTCTAAGTCCTTATCTATAAATCTGTGAATAAGAATAATAGCATCAGATGAAACTATCCAAACACACACAAATGATAATTAGCAAGTAGCCAGTATTCTGATCACTTTCAGATTGCTTATTTCATGTTCTGTAGTTGTTAGGAATTCTATAAGGTGATTCTCCAGCATTCTGAATGAAAATGTAATTGTGGTTATGTGGATTGTGTTGATTTCACCTCTTCCAGGATCTGCTCTGTGTTAAGCCTCTTCATTGCTGTTTAAGAAGGATACACTGTTTTTTAATTGGTGAGGTGTACTTTTGAGATATAATTCAATGCCTCAGTAAATGTAAAGCATCTATTTCTCATTTTTCTGCCAAGAACTTTTTCCGTGCCTATTATTTAGAAGGTGTTGGATTGGATCCAGTCGAGAAAGTAGAGGTAAATAGCATTCTTTCTCACCTCAAGAAATTAAGAATAACATTACTAGATACGTAGACTTCTGAAGACTCGTTGATTCTATACACTGATTTTTTTCCATGCACCATTTGTCTTATAGCGCTCATTTCTTAGTTCAATGTGATATGCTTACCTTTCAGAACGTTAAATTGAGTATCTG